GAATATAGAATGTAAATATGGGTTGTGGTAATATATTTTTGTGGAAAAGACGCAGTCGAGACAGTTTTCTGCGGTGTGATAGTGGTGGAAGATCTAGGATGTCTTTAATGTTTGTAACGCTGGCTGTTCTTTGGTAGTTGTCGAGAATTAAACGAACGAAGCGATTTTGTATTTTTTTAGTAGTTTTATATGGTTCTCACATCGGGCGTCTAATACTGATGATACATATTCAAGCTTCGGACAAATGAAATTTGTGTACAGTAGTAGTTTTAGTCATGATGGAGCTTGAGAAAACTTCTGCAAAAATATTCTAATGTGCCAGTGGCATTGGTGGCTATGTGATCAATATGAGTTTCCCATTATAGGTTGTTAGTAATATGAACTTACTTACGGTTTCCCAAATATTCAAGAAAGGTTTTCTAAGAAATAGAAGTGGTACAAAATGAATTAGCATGAAGGGTCAGTGATTAATGCAAGCACAAAAGCGTGGGATATTCTTTTCCTTCAAGGCAGTCCGCATGTCGAAAAACTAGTTTTAGCGACAATCTGTGTTGATAAATTCTTGACCTTAATATGCCGTCAAAGTGGAACTGGTCGGTATGAGTCCCCGTGAATGACTGGGCAATAAATAAAGCATTCCATGAACCGCAGGTGACAGAGCAACTGACCGTTTAGGTGGAAGAAGTGCCACTGGGAAGGGGACGACGACGTGGTGCACAGTTGAACACATCCTGCGTCGTCTAGCGCTATGTTCTCTTGAATGTGCCTTCTTTTGTACATGTCCTTTGTCTGCACTACCATCATTCATCATACTACCATACCAACAAATCCAGATTGCCACCCTCATTGACATCCCCACACCCTCGCCGTAATCACCACTGATTGGATCAGCCCTTCACAGTGGTCTTAGGACTGCGCGCAGGAGGCACAGTTTAGGGTTTGGAAAGTACTAATGACTAATGCGACTGCCTTCAGTTTAATTCCAATCAGTTTAAAGTTTTGCATAGCACTTTTGCCATAACGAAACCACCACGCAGCACCGTAGGTGGTCCTTGAACAGTGAGAAGTGCTCATGGCCGCGCCACTCAATGTTCGTCAATGTGATATTTATGACCAAGCAATGGCCACACTGAACACACTCGCAAGCATAGTTTGCGAGTGTGTTCGGATAGTCGGGCAAATTTGCAAGCCGGGTAAGCTTTTATGACTGTCTAAATGTGAAGCAGCTTATGGCGAAGTTCAATGCAGTGTGCGGCGTCACCACCCTTATGCACATGCGCCAACTCTTCCTCTTTCCGTGCGCGAGGAAGTGAGGTGGAAGAGGTGGCAAGGCACTGCCTTTGCTTCGTTTTCTCCTCTCCCGTTTGTCTCTCCACCACAGCTGTGTGCTCATATATAATGCTGTGCGTGGGTGCTTCCTTTGCTCTCTACTAGCAGGGCTGGGTATTCACTTTGCAGCACACATGATAATACATACAAATAGAATGGGGGGGGAGGGGGCATGACATAAGCAATACACAACACATCCACAGCTCCACACACAACCGAAATGTCCACAGAACCGTACAAATGAAAAACGCAGATGAACACCAGCGCTGCTTCACACTCCCACATGATTCTCTTGCAACTTTCAGTGATGTATCCCCAGTCTACGAGTTGCTTCTTTCATCCTCAGGTATGGCAACTGTCGCGGAAGGGCGACACAACATTGGGATGCCATCCCTTTTAAGACTATACGAAGTCGATCAGCAACTGCATGTTCCATGTGTAAATGTCCGGAGTGAAGTGCAGCGAACAGAGTAAACTGCGCTTGATTGGCGTCTAGTCTCCGCCTCTGCCACGGCACACGAAGTTGATCTACGCTTGTATCAGCGCCAGATCGGACAGGAATCGGTGGAACTTGTATCTCTCATCCCCCTTTTCCCTTGCGCAAGACTTCACTGGGCAAAATATTGGTGCCACGACGACAAATTAAAAATTTAATGATTCCTTTGCCCTCTGGCAGGCGTATATCTTACATTTGAGTGCACGCACACTAATCCAGACTCCACTCACTCGCTTCACAGATACGCTAGATGACAGTGCCTGCAAGGCATGAGCGCACAATCGATAAGGCGATGTGCAAGCTGCCATTTTTTGTGTTTTGGTGCTTGACGTCATCACAACTAGCAAGACTGCTGCATGAAGTCACCAAGATAGGTACTGTAGCCTGACGTTGAGTTAGTGTTGATGTCAATAGGTACCTATGCCGTGAGAAAATGCACTTTAATATCAAAAATAAAATATCTTAACAGCATTTGCTGAAGGTCATACTTGCCCAGAGCCGTTTCTGAATGAAGGAGATTTGTATGGCAGAGTAGACTTGCCTCTAAAAAAAACAGCGTCACTACCCCTTTAATCTGGCATTTGGTCCATTAGTCTTCGCAAAGCTTCGCCAAGATATGACTTCACCATGCATCGCCTAGCGATTGACTGGAGCAAGCACAGGATAAGTGGAGAGGAGAATAAAACAGAACAAAGTAATATTTCAAAGTGAGGTGGAATCTAAACTCGGGTACCCGCAGTTCAAAGGTGGCATTACAGCCACTCAACTATGGAGGCATGCAAGTAGAATATATTGAAAGAGTGGGCACGCCAACACAGACGAAAGAAAAAACTCAGTTGATACCCCAAGCACCGCAGAGAGGCTCACAAAACGTTTAGCTTCAAACGGGCGAATTCCAATCTTGTAAAATCATGAAATAGTCCTAGAATAGTACAAACATATAGCAATTGACTTATGCCCACTTATGTCCGCTATTGGCAGTGGTGTAGCCAGGGGGTGGCACACCGAGCCCGAGCCTTCTCACCCACCCCCCCCTGAAACGTCATTCCCCATGGCACACGGAGCGAGAAATGACCATTACAAGGAAGTGCGCCCTCCCCTCGCTGAAATCAAGAAGGTGCACTTCTAGAAAAGCTTTCTGCCTACACCCCTGGCTGCTGGCCAATAGAATTCTACCTGATGTGTAACGCCAGAGAGCTGCAGGCATTCGAAATAGAGTGAGCACAGGCCTCTGTAAAAGAGGGTGCCTAAAAAAATGACAACTTCACACTGAACTGAAGTCCTCATCAAGCACGACCGTACTGAGCTGCTCATGGCAATGACTGTTTTCCGCAGGATGTATTTTTTCACCAAATGCGAAAAATCACTTAAGACAGCATTCAACACTCTTCATACACAATAGCCTTACAACAAGTATAAAATATTTTACTTTACTTTTAAAGTTTCTGTCACCCAGCATTTAGGCTGTAGCCCCACCGCAACGGACATTATTCTGACAAGTCGACGCATTTCACTAGGCTTTTGAAACCTGTGTCCTGCATGCAGTTTAAATCATAGTCCCTCATCAATGTTTACGTGAATCCCATGCGGCTGACACCAAACTTACAGGTGTTGGTAGTATGTCACGAGCCGCGACGTCAAACTTGTGTTGACACGTCACTGCGAAGCTGCCCTCTCGATACCAAAACATAAATTGCTGTTTTAAAGGGACACTCAAAGCAAATAACAATTCATGTCAGAGTAACAGCTGAATGTATGATGTCTAGAACGATAATATTGATAAGAAGTGATAATATTGTCGAAACACGAAACGACAGGCTACAGCCCTTTCTATCTGCTCTACGCTCGCTCACCTCGACATACGCTGGACACTATCTTTCCTTTTGTCGTCCATGACGATTTAACAATTGCGGAAACTTTGTGTCGTGCGGAAGAGACACGTCGACTTGCCTGCCTACGTACACTGGCAGCGCAAGAGTCCTCCAAAACTCGCTACGACAGTCAACACAGGCATGTAACCTATGCCCCCGGTGATCTAGTGTGGGTGTGGACCCCAATACGCAGACATGGCTTGAGCCAAAAGCTACTGGCACACTACACCGGTCCTTTCGTGATACTTCATCGTCTCAGCGAGGTCAACTATGAAATTTCACGTGTCACCACTAGTGGCCGACGTTCAAGCAAGACAGAGGTGACGCATGTTGCCCGCCTGAAGCCGTTTACACGGAGGATGCAAGAATGACTCGCCCAGAGGGCTTCGTCTGAGACCGGAGGAATGATAAGAAGTATCACTACCAGGAAAAACAAGGGAAGCGCGGGTAGAGAATGAAGACAACGTTGCCTCCACTGCGATCCCTCTGAGTGGGTACGAGCCATGGCGGTGGAGATCATCATCATTATACGGTGATCGCGGACTCAGGGCCCATTAAAAACCCCCATTAATTTACCTCGCCTTGTGTAACAATATTATCAAAAGCAATACTCTACTTACCGAGAACCTAAAGTAAATGCACGAGAGCACATGCGCCAGGAGTAGGACATTTATAAAATGATCTCGATAACGTCAGACTTACCGCCTACAATTAAACACTAGTAATCGAACTAGCTGCACTAAATAAAGAACCTTCCATGCATCAAGAGATGTTATAAAATGCTGCTTGTTCATTTCTGTTTGATTCATGAAAAAAAGAACCGCCAAACGTTAATATGAAAAATGGCGTGAGTGGTTCAAAAGTTAAAATCTCGCCTGGTTAACCCATTACCGCCCAGTGTACTTAATCAAACACAGTGAATAACAAATTTTTTTCTCTCATCGAGGCGAATATATTTCAAAATTGAGTTCAGCTTGCTGCCACCACTGGGTTTCATTACCGCCACTGTGTAGGTGGTCATCTCACCATTCCTCCTACTAGGTGATTTTTCCCAACGAACTCCCGGAAACTGGACGCTGGCTCACTAGCTCCATAAGTGCGCGCATTTTATTTTATAAAATTTTTCAGCAGGCTCTGTCAGATTCAATATTTGTGTGGGTTGTTTATGAAAACGGGTCTTCGGCACGCGCATAATTTTGTTCGCGATGTTTGGTGATAATAACAAGTTATGTTGTATTGAAGTTAGGTGTACTTGATATAGTACAATGGGCGCTTACGTGTGCTACACTAATATCTCGTTGCAGACGGTTTGCGCCATGGAGGCAGATTTTTCTTTGGCCCGAAAAATTTCTGCCGACTTCAAGAAGCTCTAGAAGTGCTTGACAGTGCAGAAGAGGCAGATAATGATGTTGACTTGGTGATCGTGCCCCCTGAGCCTACTGCAGAAACCGATGAAGAAGGAGATGACAACTGCATTGAAGACCTTGGGATGAATGACGTATGCGGTGAGTGCTACTAATCTTGCAACAACGATAATAAAATTGTTCGTGCAGTTGTAGAGCTTCATTTATTTTCTAGGTTTGCTCGAGGTTCACGGGCTTCCTGCAGATCTTCTACCACATGCTCAAAGTGCTCCTAAAAAGGCGAGGAATGGGACCGCCCCCAAATGGCAACAAAGTGCACCTCAGAACTCTTGGTCTGTGCCCACGAACGGAACTGAAGACCGAAGAAGCAGTTCGTAGAGGAAATTTGAAGAAAAATCGTCGAGTGAGATATTTTTCACCATTTTTGATGAGGAGGTCCTCACCCAAATAATAGTTCAGTCAGGGACATATGCAAAACAAAAAAAATGAGCACGGCTTTTCTCTGAGCACGGATGACCTAAAGAAATTCCTTGGTATTCTTCTTCTGAGCGGGTACAACAGATTGCCAAGTCAGAAGATCTACTGGTCTCTTGACAAAGATGTTGGCGTTTTTTGTGTGTTTCGGGGCATGCCCAGGACGAGGTTCTTAGATATTAAGAGATTCTTGAATTTTGCTGACAACAACGCTATCGTTCGAACAACCAACAGCATGTATAAAGTCCGACCACTCATGGATTTACTAAACAAAAAGTTCCAGCAGCACGGGGTTTTTCACAGAAACCTTTCCATAGACGAATCAATGGCAAAATATTTTGGACATCACCCGTGCAAGCAGTTTATTCGGGGCAAGCCAATACGATTTGGCTATAAAAACTGGATGCTCTGCAGTTCAGATGGCTACTGCTACGCCTTTGACACCTATTGCGGAAAGTCGTCGAACTCTGAAAACTTGCCCCTTGGCAGCCGAGTCATGCTTTCTTTTTGCGAGAACATTTCTATCCCTTCGGATCACATCCTTTACTTCGACAATTTTTTCACTGGAATCGAACTGTTAGCGGCTCTTAAAATGAAGGGTTTCAGAGCAACCGGCACTATCCATGAGAACCGCCTCAAGATTGCTACCTTGCCAGTGAAGAAAGAGATGGAAAAGCGAGATAGGGGCTACCTCGCTAGCTGCTTTGACACTCAAAATGAAGTGCTCCTCATGAAGTGACGTGACAGCAGCGTCGTGACAATGGCCACGAATTATGACTCAGTTGAGCCCATTGTGGCAGTAAGCCGGTGGTCTTCAAAAAAAAAAGAGAAAAGTAAAGGTAGCCCAGCCAAGTGTTTTCGGCACTTACAATAATATAATGGGAGGTGTGGACCTTTCCGATCAGACCGCCAACAACTACAGGATCGGCATTCGCTGTAAGAAGTGGTGGTGGGTATTGTTCATACAGATGCTAAACATTTCCGTGGTGAATGTGTGGACGATTCACCAAATGTCATCTGAAAACAGACTGGACCTTCTAACTTTCACTAGACTGGTTACTCGTCACCTCCTGCGCCTCGGTGTTCAGAAGCGGTACCAAAGACGAAGACCTGCAAGTGTCCCAACTGACATCATTTTTGACCCCAGAGGGCACTACCCCAGGAATCTCGGAAGCAGCTCAGATGCAAAGTTTGCCATATGCATGCCATGTGGGAATGCGAAAAATGCCAATGCACTTTGTGCCTCGAGCGAGAATGCTTCAAGAAATTTCATGAAGGCAAGTAGGGCCCGTCGGAGAAACCATGGTCGAAATGACATTGCAACCGCCCATTGTACTAGATCAGGTACGGCGTCATAACTTCTCCGGAAATAAACAGTTTTTTGTGAACTTTTGTTGACAGTGTTCTTTAGGGCTCCTAATATTATATGAAATTTTTTTCAACTTTCGCCCAGTAGTTTTTCCATGGGTCATAATGGGTTGAACTGGACAGGTCGTGCCATCTAGTGGGGCCCAGTTAAACCAAGCACACCTGCCATCTCAGAGGCCATGGCAAGAAATCGTTCGATGGCTGTTGTTGCTGCTCTGGTTCTCGTTACTTTTGATCGGCTGCTACTACAGGTTTTCCCACTCACTTCAATCCATGTGCCAGCTTAAACAATCCACATGCCATTGAAATAATCTGAGCGCCAAACTATTTAGTCTATGTGTCATACATTTCATCCAAGTGCCAAATTAATCAGGCGACGTGTCAGTGAGTTTAATACAAGTGCCACCATGTTTAATCCAATTGCTAACTGCCTTGATTCAGGTGCCAGTCAATTTATACCATGCACCAGAAACACATGGTTTGCCACTTTATACAGTCTAAATGTTGGACTTTTGTAAACATGAAGCAACAAGAAAACTTTTCGCTCCCTATACATGCTAGCGCTTACGAAATGGGGTGCAGTGCTATATTCCCCTAACGTTCTGGTGTCATAGCTTCAAATAAGGAAAAAACAGTGCATAATAATTGTATTTACAGGTATTTATTGTGCTTGCTCATAGAGTCCATATACGTCTATATGCTTCATTGCTACTGCATTATTCCGGCATATCTTCTACATCATCGCATATGCCAAGACTCATGTCGTCTGCTCGGCAGACAACATTTGGCTGTCAATTTGCTGAAACGTTCGCAATCGTCTGCTCAGCCCGGTGAGAATGATGATGATCGAGAGATGATATTCTTCCGTTCTTGCAATCAGGAATAATCATTTAATACTAAAGTTGCATTCATTTGGGTTTATGTGGAATGCATCAAATGCATTCCACATAAACGTGGAATGCATAAATGCATCATGTGGAATGCATAAATGCACCAAATGAGATACTGCTGTTTTCATGTAAAAGACGACGCTAGTGTTGCTGAAGCATTCTTGCTTAAAACACGTGTGTTTCATAAGATACACATAATTTTATTTGAACAAAAAGATGACAGCTAATATGAATGTAAAATATGACTTCCGTTGTCCACATCAGGATCATGAGTTTATGTCCTATGTGCACTGCAGGAGGAAACTTTTTTTAAATTATCTCTAATTCTCTATGAGCTCTGTGAGGGCCTCCTAATTCCTTGATTATATACCTGCTTTTGACCCATCGCTACCCATGGCCAGATTTTCTATATATTGGTATGCATTTCGGCACTCCAATAATCATTGTCTGCTTTTCGCATTGCAGGACCTGCCCCAGTCATGTAATGATATACAGATCCAATTATGAGCTTCAGTGACGAATGCGAAATATTCGTTAACATGGTCCTGCTTTTTGTTTAAGTGCCATTAAAATGATTTCACTCGGGCCAAGCACTCATCTACAAACTTTTACGTAGCAAAATACAAACACCGCCCCACCGCGGTGGTCTAGCGGTCAAGGTACTCTGCTGCTGACCTGCAGGCCGCGGCATCACATCTCGCCTGTGGCGGCTGCATTTTTCATGGAGGCAGAAATGTTGTAGGCCCGTGTGCTCCGATTTGGGTGCACGTTAAGAACCCCAGGCGGTCGAAATTTCCAAAGCCCTCTACTACGGCGTCTCTCATAATCATGTCTTGGTTTGGGTCGTTAAACCCCACAAATCAATCAAGTACAAACACTGCTCATACGAAAAACGGCAGTAATATTTTTCACAAATATTAATGGTAAATACAAATAATAATGATTTATTCTATTTTTCGACTATTATGTCTCTTATATATTGTAGGAACTGCATTTTGATTGTACTGTCATGTTTGCGCCCCGTATTATGTTTGTTGTGCATGGATTAAACTGGCTGGCACCTGAATTAAAGCCGCAGCATGGTGGCACATGGATTAAACTCACTGGCATGCGGCCTACTTGAATCAGCGCTTGGATCAAATATGTTGGCACATGGATTAAATATTTGACACATGGATTATTTTAAATAGCTTGGCGCTCAGATTATTTTAATGACATGTGGATTATTTAGGCTGGCACTTGGATTGCAGTCAGCCGAAAAACCTGCAGTGTCGGCAGCTGCACACTAAAGCCGGGCAACGTTGTGCACGGCAATAGCGACACGAGTGTTTCTACTTTGAGGGAGGTAATTTGAAGTATGCTAATGTGATACAGACCACCAAAACATGATCTTATTTCAAAATAAGCCCTTCCTTGGCACAAAAGTTGTGCTACAAAGTTTCTGGACTGCTATTTCAGCAACCAACATTGACATAATATTTGCTTGTAATATTTGCCTTCAGGGTAGAGGTATTAAAAATATATTCAATATTTAATGCGTTCCCACGTACCTGGTGCTATCATCACACAGGTTTTCATTTAGAGTAACAACCACTAAATGTTCACAATAGTCCTTTTAAGCACTGAGGAAACCGAAAGTGAGTGGTGGAACACCTACCCTTTCCGACAAGCCTATAATTGGCGTATTTGAAACAGCTCTTGCCATAATGGTAGTCGTCGCAGTTGCTTTTGTACACCTTGCAGGCGCGCTCAAAGTCCTTTTTAATAGCCTCCAGGTAGTCACCCAACCGATGGCACCCTGCGCCAGCAACAACCGTCAGCGGGGCAAATTTTTTTTACACAGCAGCCCGTACGAAGCCTACTAAAATCCAATAACAGTATGCAGTGCATGCATTAAAGTTAAGACACTGTCTAATTGCATGTCACTATACTAACTATACATAAATGTTACCATCCATATATATTACACATTCAAGCATAACCTAGACAATATCATGCATAATGTATATACATATATAGTACATATTATATGCATACATACATATATACATGCATAATATCAACCATGAACAGCACAGGTGTCATAATTCAGCACTGTCTATTACGTATTAGCCTGTCAACTTCTGTTGCCGCATTTTGAGCTTTAATTTTTTTCAAAATTTCATCCCTCTTAGCTACCTCTCATTCTCAACTGTGTCATTTTTAGATCACTAGTTGCTCATTCAGTTGCAGAGGGGTTGAAACATGGGCGCGTTGGTATAGATTCACACTGAAATGTTGGTAGCACAAAATAACGAGGCACAGAACGAGGACACAAACAAGCGCCGACTGAAACATTAGACCTATTCATAAAGAAAGACATCAAGGGAAAAAATACAAGAAAGAAGGTTTGTCAAATGTCATCCAGAAATTAGATTTAGTAATGTAAAAGCGATATGGAAGGTGGGCTGACACAACTATTGATATTGTCTTTTATGAAAGAAGGCTTCCGCAATCTCCCTAGTTTTCATGTCACAATGGGCGTATAATGCGTGAATGCACGCCTCCAAGAACACTAGAATGCATGAAAGACAGCCCCGGGTGTACATTTGTTCGCCCATTGCACAAAATGTGGTTCCATACTTGAATTTTCCTGCACATCTGTTTTTTATGCACCCATTATGATACAAGTGAAACAGTCTGAAAAAAGAAAGAGAAAAAGAAGAAAAATGGAACTCAGGGGAGGAATAAGGTTGAGAACAGTAATAAATGGCGGACGACACGCGTCTGTCTCAAGTTATTCGATGGTGCTGTTTATTTAACCGAGGACCACTACACAATTTTGGCGCAGCCGAAGGCGGACATGTGAATAAGTTCTTCATTGATCAGATCTCATCTCAGCATATCGCCTTCATGGATTTCAAGTTCAAGGCGAGCCAAGAACGGACCTTCCTCGTCATGTGAGTTCTGCAGTATTGACTGAGAAAGTGATGAAGGACGCTGCCGTTGGCTATGAAGAGCTTCTTCAGATGGAATCCGTGAAGGTTGATCTGAGTCTACAGGCGCTAAAAGAGCTTGTCCTTCAATCTATGCGATGTCCAGGACTCTTGCAAAAGACTGCTGAAGAGAAGGTAAGCCTGTTCATAAAAATTATTGAAGAGCAGCAAGGACAGATGACACAGAATAGTCAGCTAATGAAAACGCTTGTTGATGCGCTGAACAGAGCTCCAACTATGCAAATACTGCTGGAGCCGGATATTTTTCAAGAAAGCGCGCAGAGTCCTCCACATAAATATTTTTTAGGAAAATGCATTGCAAAAGAATAAGTGGTCATCAGATGACGATAAAATTCAAAACTTGCATCGTTATCTTGATGTCACTGCTAAAAAGTGGTACGACTTCCAGTTTCTTGAGAAGGCACCATTTTGTTGGGAGCAATGAAAAGCGAGTTTTTTTTTTTTGCTGCATCTTAGTTTCTTTGCACACAAACATGGCATGATGCACTAAACTACCAGTACAAATATGGATCCCCCTAAAATTTCACCCGAAGAAACGTCGTCTGCTACACGTAGCAGAGCCTAACCTGTCCTCGCAGACTGTTTTAGATCTATTGATGCAAGAGTTATCTAGGGAGATTTGAAGAGAAGTTGCGTTGATGGCTCCAAGGACTCCAGACAAGCTCCTGCAATGCCTCAAGAATTTGTTCCCCAGGGGAGAAAAGGAACAAGGAGGGCCGCCATAGAAAAAAAACTCTTGAACAGACACGACAGGTGCAACATTAACGCCCACTTACCTACAAGTCAGTATGCACGTAGCTGCATAGATATTTCATGCCAATGTGAGCGTGGCGACGAGGACAGTGTTGAAACTCGCCACAGCTCTGCCCATAACCCAGCTCTCCACCACTTACTACTCAATCATCAGATTTCAATCAGATAAATAGCGGCTGGGAGAGCTTGTATTTAATATCGTCCAGCCTGCTCCATATACCCGTGAAAATCGATGGCAACAAAATGAATGCTTTGGTGGATAGTGGAGATTCTTTGTTTATCATTAAGAGAAATAGACTCAGCATCAGTTGTTTGCACACTGGTAAAGCCAATCGAGTGCAAAGATATGATGGTTCGGTTAGCTCGCATAACGAGTGGGCACTTGTCGACATCGAATTCCAAGGTCATTCTGTCACCAGCACTGTGTTGGCAATGCTAGACGTGACGTACAACTTTCTACTCTCTCACCGGACATGAAGAAGCTCAAGATTCTTGTCATCCCTTTACTGGGATGACAAATGGCTCGGAAACAATGGGTCACCAAGGAAGACAAAGGATCCAACACCTTGCCTATTGCGAGTCGTTAGTTGCGAAGACGACATCAAAGCCCTGTACCCTGAGCTCATCTTGCGTTGGGAGCCACACTCCAAAAATGAAGTCGCATCAAAAATCACTTATAAAACAGAGATACGAAGAGCTTCATACAATATGTAAAGAAAAAGAAGACATGGCTGAAAAAAAAGTTGCAGGCAATGTTGGATGCAATGATAATTTGACCCTCAATATCCCCTTTTGCTTCACCTATCACTATCGCTCTGAAGGAAGATTGGACATTTCGTCTTTGTATGGATTATAGAGCACTCAACAAATCGAGTTGATACCATTCCCCTTGGCCAAGATAGGCACAATTATTGACAAACAGGTGGACGCCGATGGTTTTCTCGTATTGACCTGTGTAACGGTTTCTGACAAGTTCCCATGATCGAGGACACAAAGAAGCACACGGCCTTTGTTACACCATTTGACTTGTACTAGTACGAAGACAATCGCCTGCCATTTGAAAGAAAGAACTCTCCAGCCTGGTTCTAAAAGATAATGAATGACACACTAAAGCCATATCTCGGAAACTTATGCAACCTCTACATTGACGATCTACTCATTTTTTCGAAGACTGAAGAGAAGCATCAAAGTCACCTTTCTCAGGTTCTTAGAGCTCTTAGCCAAGCTCAGCTGAAGGTGAACTTCAAGAGCACATTTTTTTCAAAACACAGTTCTGTTTTTCGGCAGAGTCTTTGATGGCATTACAAAAAGCACGAAGCAGAATTCAGTTGAAAGAACTTCGAACTTAGAGAAGCCATACGATGTACACTCGCTGTGGGTATTTCTTGGCCTAGCTGGGTATTTTAGCTCTTTCATAAAAGATTATGCTGTAAAGACCAGGTGGCTCACAGGTTTGATGCAAAAGACATCGCTTTTCAATGGAGCCCAGAGTATGAAAAAGCTTACAACAAACTAGTCAAACTAATACCATCAGATACGATTCTTCGTATACCGGACTTCCCCATGCCTTTTGGGCTCAATATTGACGCGGCACATTATACAATGGGTACAGTTCTTTATCAGAAGGCATCAAAACTACCTGATCATCAAAAGCACCATGTTGTCAGTTTATATAGCCATACTTTTAAGCCTGCCGAAGCTAGTTTACCACCACTGAAAAAGAAGCATTTGCTGTTTTAAAAGCTGTCCAGTATTTTCGTACCTACCTGGAAGGTTCGAAATTCACCCTATTTACTGATAACCAAGCTTTGAAACATCTCTTAAACATGGCACAGCCAAAGAGCCGAATCGCTCGATGGGTGAACTATCTACAACAATTTTACTTCGAGATATCAAATCGTCCTGGTCCGCTGCTAACAGCTGCAGATGCATTGTCCAGATTAGTTGTTCACAAGACAAGCGAGTAGCCTGAAGAAATAAATTGCGCCAACTTATCAGATGGAACCAAGAAAACGAACTTTGTTGACGGGAAATATCACGTACCATCCACAGTGGTTCACAAGATACTTCGTCTGTGTTATAATAGTCCAGGTCCAGAGTTGGGGGGGGGGGGGGGACATGATGGTTTTAGTCGCACCTACAACAAGCTCCTGAAAAGATTTACTTGGCCAAGTATGAAGGAGGACGTGAAAGAACACGTTCGGACATGCCATCTATGCCAAGTGAACAAAGTTTAAGCAGGCAATAGATGTGATGATAACGTTCAAATATTCCAGCGTTCTTTTCGAAGTGATTCACATAGATTTCGCTGAATTGAAAAAGAAGGACGAAGAAAACACAAGCATTCCTGCTTGGCATAGACGAATACGTATGCATGATAATAACTAAGGCAGGAAGGGAAGGTGCCAACAGCATTATTGCTTTCCTTGAATCAGAATGTTTCAGGTGCACCAAGGCTATAATTTGTGAAAACAGCCCCGCCTTTCGAAGTGCACAGCTGGCTAAGTGGAAAAAAGACCGTGGTATTATTTTCATGTTTTCTTTGCCATACCATCCTGCTGCAAATGGCTTGGCTGAACGTGCCATTCAAGATATTAAGCAATACCTAAAAATGTACCCCAGATTTCAAGGCGGCTGGAAGTGTTGCCTCGAGGCTGCGACCAGACATCACAACCGCTCGTACACCAGTGTTTCAGATGATATAGTCCTCTGTTTGCTACCTCTTAAGTGGTCTCTACCTTCCCTGCTGACCGCAAGCTTGGCCCCCTTGAAAAGCTCGTCCTCAAGGAAGCCAAGAAAAGCAAGGGCCAAAATGCCTCCTACAGACAGCACATGAAGAGGAACTTTGACAGAGATGCAACAGTGACATTCGAGATATACAAGTAGATTTGTTCTAATCCGGAAAGGAATTCGACGGACAATGATCAGTTTTATGGACCATTTCCAGTAGTTAAAATGGCACCTCAGAGCGATTTTCTCAAGACAGTTTAGTATCTAGGATCACCAGGACAAACTGAGTACGCTTCCATTGATAATGTGTTTAAGTACT